TTAAAAAAAATGAAAACATTCAATAAACGCCTTTTTTTTTATGCCATAAAATGGAAGAAAAAACAAAAACACGATGTTACAAAATGACACCTAAGTTTTAGGGTCGGTGAAAGTGAAACTTATAATTTTTGATTTATATTTTTAATTCAACAGTAAGAGTGTTCGAGTTAGTTTACGCATATTTACACATATCTCGACTAATTCTTTTCTTAATCTAGTTAAAGATAGACCATTTACAGATTAAATTGTTAATAAATTCCGGTTATCAAAATTCAAACTCAATATGAATCGAAAAATAAAAATTTTTATGGAGTGTTCCGGATTCACATTAGATTTGGACACACGCACGTGACACGGCGCGTGCAGACAANAGTTGTTAATAAATTCCGGTTATCAAAATTCAAACTTAATATGAATCGAAAAATAAAAATTTTTATGGAGCGTTCCGGATTCACATTAGATTTGGACACACGCACGTGACACGGCGCGTGCAGACAATATTAGCAGCACTGTGCACTGCTCACCCCTAAAAAAACACTTCCAAAACCTCTGCCCCNGGAAACGAGAGGTTAGGGTGGTCATCGGATAAATTGATTTGAGACCGTTTGATTGGTTTGTTGAAATCGTTCTGTTATATGTTATAGAATTATAGAATTTTGGTGTATTATTGTATATTTTAATATATTAATGTGTATATTTTTAATATATTAATTTACGTGTATTTATATTTTGATAAACTATTAATATGTGTGTGTTTTGATATGCTAATATATTTATTAAAAATTTTAATTATTTTATGAATTAATCGGTTTAACATAACCCCTTGTATCAATATTTTAAGCTTAAATAGCAGCAGTCCACAATGAAAATATCAAACAGAGTCAGTTTTTGACGGAGACGAAAAAAATGAAGCGAGTATGGGGTGAGAGAGGCTCGAACTCTCGACCTCAGGATAACTTAGAAGCTATGAGACCTACGCGCTAGCCAACTGCGCCACCACCCCAATGTTTCAATTTTTCTAATTCAAATAATTTTCTATAAATAAAATCTAAACAAAATCAACAAATTTGTGTGTGCTAACCTCGTCCTTATTTTGTATTCTAGTTTTTTTAACAAAAATTGTATCAACTAGTACTTTTATACTCTAATCAGACCCACTAAAATTAACAATCTTGTATGGTATACTTTATTTAGACTGAACTTCTTATTATACAGAGACTAATAAAAGTGCAATTATGACCAGTTTGATAAATTAAGAGGTGAGTTCAGTTCCAACTCAATATATGAAATGTTCATCCTTAACCAATCTAACCTAAGTGTCTAATTGATCACCTTTACTCCGACCTCAACCATGATTAAATTTGCAAGTTGAGTAGATTAAGTTGATCAATACGAGTTTCAATGCAAGTCAACTTAGGGAAATAGTTTGAAAAGATCCGTACAACATCAATTAGATTAAAACTGTAAGAAGAAAAAACTAAAATATAAGAGAATCGTTATCGACTCTATTGTGGTGTGATTATACATAATGTAAAACCAAATTTCGGAGCAACCCGCCAAAAATCAAAAACCAAATCAACTCTATATAAACACATCCAACACAAGATTAACTCATCATGGTGGGATCACCACTTCAAATTTATCAAAATAAAAACATAAAAAATGAATTTAAACCCACTTAGATTTTTTTCTTTCCTAGCTCAATTCAAGCACTCTAAGCCACCAATTGGTAAGCTTTTTAACCTTTTTTTTTTTTTTTTTAAAAAAGAAATAAATTATAGTGTTTGTTTTTGCACCAAAAAAGCAAACATTTAAAAAGCAAATAAAAAAAATAGTCTTTTTTTGAGAAGTAAAAAATTTGCTTTTCTTAAGCAAATAATACAATGTTACTTTACAAAATAATAAGTGTTTGATTCTCAATAGATTTAAGCAAAATATATTAATACACTAAAAAAAACATGCACACACACAGGGTCGCCCCAATGGGTAGGTAATTTAAATGTTTGCATTAAGACCCTCAAAAAAGAGAGACCCCAGATAATGTTATGATTTTTGAGAATTAATGTTATATATGACCTAAAAAATTTAATTTGTATAGAACCAATTAAATATATATCAGAAAAAATCCCAAACTAAAATAAAAAAAAAAAGTCAATCATCTTTTTCCTTTTAATCAATATTTTACTCCTTTTAGCTTTTAAAAACTCTTTCAAAAGTCAGTTTAATTTTTCTCATTTTAGCTTTTAAGAATCTCTCTCTCTTTCTCCAATTTTTACAATTGAACACCATTAATGACTAGCCTACATCACCTATACAATTATTGTGTCACAAGAAAGATTGAATGAATTAGTCTCATTATCTATTAAAAACGAAATATTAGTGAAACTTGAATGTAAAAGTTTAATCACTAAATTTACATCACAAAAAGCAAAAAAAAAAAAAAAATGATGTTTAAGTAAAATATTAATCATATAATATATTTATAATAAATTTTATGAGGGCCTCATTTAAAGATTTTGCATAACCCCATTTTCAGAGCCGGTCCTGCACATACACTAATACACCAAAATACATGCACACACTACTACACGATACACACATGCACTAATACACTAAAAAAATACACACTCTCTAATACACCAAATATGCATGCACATACTAATACACCAAAATACACGCACATATTTTAATACACAGATTTATACACACGTAAACTAATACAACAAAACCCATATACACATATATTAACACATCAAAACACGAAAACTAATATACCAAAATATAAACACTAATACACCAATAATACAAATACACTTCTTATTTTAACACACACACACACAATCAATATAACAAAAAAAAAACACACACGTGCAGAAAACTAATACACTAAAAAACTGCACATTAATACGCACACAAAACACAACCACATGCACATTCACTAATACTCTAAACACATGCACACACATTCATACACCAAAAATACACACAAATCATAAAAGTTTATAAAATTTCATGGGATGGATAACTAATCAAATTCTCGCACCACAAGAAAGGTGCAATACCCTCAAATTGCATACTTAGGTTAATAGTGTTTGTGCATGTATTAGTGAGTATATGTCTTTTGGTGTATTAGTATTGTGTAGATATTTAGTATTTTTGGTGTATTAGTGGGTGTATATATATATTTTAGTGTATTGGTACGGGAATGCAAGTGTGTATATTTTTGGAGTATTAGTGTGCTTGTGTTTGTGCGTATGTGCTTGTGAATTAGTATGTGTGCATGTGTGTTTTGGTATGTTAATAAGTGTGTCTTTGTGTTTCAAAGATACTTATTAAACATTTTATATTTTGTGCTTTGCTTTTAAGCAAAAAGATTTTTTTTTAAGTTTTTTTTTGTTTCAATGCTTTAAGAAAGTGTTACCAAGTAGAGGCTAAATCTTTTCAGCCTGAGTAGGATTTTGTTCATGTAAAAGCTAGAATGTGTAATTGGCGAGCAATAACACAAGCCTTACTCGATACCAATTACATAGGTTTGACTATAATATTAAAAAAAAAAATTACGATCGTGTCACTTATTATTTTTTTGGATATTTATTTTTGTAAAACATTAATTTTTGGAGTGCACCCGGCACCCAATATCTTTTAGATTCACTTACGAGAGGGTGTTTGCAAAACGTTTTCGTTTTTATTTTTTATTTTTATAAAAAAAACTAGTTTTTGCTTTTTTGTGATAAAAAATAAAAAATATAAAACATGTTTGGTAATTATTTACATTTTAAAAAATTATTAAAACAAAAATAAAAAACATATTTGGTATTTTACCCAACACCACCTAAACCCACCACCAACAACCCCACCGAAAACCCACTCCCACCCCTTGCAATCCACCACCCATCACCCCCCTGAAACCCACCCCTACCAACAACCACTCAACACCCCAAAAAACCCACCACTCTCCAAAACCCCTGAAACCTACCCCCTAAAATCCACATTTCTCTCTCGTACACACACACGCTCACTCAAACACACAAATCTAACCAAATCTAACAATATATATATATATATAGGGCTTAGAGGTACAAAGAGAGCTCGATGGAGATGGAGTGAAATTTGACTGTGGAGATGGAGTGTTGGCTTTTGAATCTGAGAGCTCATTCGCAGTGTTTGGCGGTGGCGTTTTATGCCTGCGTTTGCCAATGGCGTCGAGACAAAGAGACGACCGAGAAAGAGGAGGCAAAAAATGAGGGGGGTGAAAGAGGGAAGTAGCTTCTTATACTCAAGTAAAAAAATTCATTTTTTGTTCTTAAGGTGGACTGAAGTCAGGTTCTCATTAAATCCCATTTTGAATTGCATGTTTTTTTTTTTGGCTGTTTTTAAAAATATTATTTTTGATATTTTCATATTTTAGTCTTATTTTTGAAACATAATAGTTAAAAAAAATGAAAACATTCAATAAACACCTTTTTTTTTTTTTGCCATAAAATGGAAGAAAAACACAAAAACACGAGGTTACAAAATGACACCTAAGTTTTAGGGTCGGTGAAAGTGAAACTTATAATTTTTGATTTATATTTTTAATTCAACAGTAAGAGTGTTCGAGTTAGTTTACGCATATTTACACATATCTCGACTAATTCTTTTCTTAATCTAGTTAAAGATAGACCATTTACAGATTAAGTTGTTAATAAATTCCGGTTATCAAAATTCAAACTTAATATGAATCGAAAAATAAAAATTTTTATGGAGCGTTCCGGATTCACATTAGATTTGGACACACGCACGTGACACGGCGCGTGCAGACAATATTAGCAGCACTGTGCACTGCTCACCCCTAAAAAAACACTTCCAAAACCTCTGCCCCACCGGCACTGTTTCCTTCGATATAAAGCAAAACCCTCACCGCCACCCTTCTCAATAGGGTCTCTCTCTCTCTGTCTCTCTCCCTTACACACACACACAGGAACAGAAAGAGAAGGCTCGAGCTGATAGAGAACCAATCCATGGCGCAATCACTGGAGCTTTTGTTAATTCAGTTCTTGATGCCGGACAACGACGCTCGCCGGCAAGCGGAGGACCAAATTAAACGGTTGGCGAAGGACCCGCAGGTGGTTCCAGCTTTAATTCACCATCTCCGCACTGCTAAAACTCCGAACGTCCGGCAACTCGCGGCGGTGCTCCTCCGCAAGAAGATCACCGGCCACTGGGCAAAGCTCTCCCTCCAGCTCCGCCAGCTCGTCAAGCAGTCTCTCATTGAAAGCATCACCATGGAACACAGGTCATAATGCGAATTTTGCGTTTGTTAATTCATTGCTGCGTTGTCGTTTCTCTGGTAAATTCGAATTAGTAGTTATGAATATACTGAAAATGAAAATTTCTTATCGAAAAAATTATTAAGTTAGTGAATGCATTGAACCATTATGTTTGTAGTTTCTACTGCAATGAATGCACATTGAATCAGTCTGTTTGTAGTTTTTACTTGCACTAAGTTGTGGTTTTTATTGGGATTTGTCATTGATTTTCTTTTTGCTTGGATTTGTGAATTTCACAAAGATGAACTTTGCAATGTGATGTGGGAAGCTGAGAATGGTTTCATGTAATTTTCTACTTTCAGTTCACCAGTTAGGCGGGCAAGCGCAAATGTGGTGAGTGTCATTGCCAAGTATGCTGTTCCAGGTGGAGAGTGGCCTGATCTGTTGCCATTTTTATTCCAGTGCAGTCAGAGTGCACAAGAAGACCATAGAGAAGTAAGTTTTTTTATACAATGGAAAGCTTTTGCACCATGCCTTTTTCTTTCTTTTTTACCACCCTTTGAAAAAAAGCTTGTTGACACCAATCTATCTTTTGCTGCTGCTATTGCTCTATCATAAGAGACAAGCCCGAAAGTTGTCCACAAGGTGTATAGATAAATGGACCACATGGTATATAGTTAGAATCTCTTGGTTGTTGCAATACCCAATATCGAGTATTGATCATGCAACATTTCCATTTTAAATAGTAATTTATTTTTTCTTTCCTTTTCTTTAATTATGTAATTTAAAATTAAAATGAACAGAAAGAAAATAAGAGAGGTAGGGAGATAGAAGACCGGTAGATGTGGATTAGTGGGGTTGCTTGACATTGAAGAGTATGTTAGTTGATGATGTTTTTGAAATGGAAAAAGAATTTTGGGATGAATTTTGTGCCATTGGATCAAAGTAGTTAAAAATTGGATCAATCTTGACCATTGTTGTACTTTTATAAATTAAGAATTTAACTTGTTAGTTGTAATATTAGATAGATGGACCACATGGTTTATAGTCAGAGATGATCATCTCAATCTCTTGGTTGTTCCTTCGTCATTACTTGTTTTTAATTCAACTATGAAAGATGATTTGTTCTTATTTGTAAGGTGGGGCTGCATAATGGATCTCTTGTCAGCTTAAATGATGTTACATTTCTTCAAGTTAATGATAAACACTGTTTATACACCTTTCAACTAAACTCTAGATGCTTCATGGGTTCAATTAGCATGGCCTTTGTCCTAGACTTCCCTAAATTGCAAAGGGGCATGACTCTATCCTTGTTGTGATGGATTGCATATTCAGAGATATCTCATTCCCTTATTTTTTCATGGACGGCAAATGCTAATCATATTGCTGATTTATCCATTGAGAAGTGGTGAGGCTACATGATATTCAAATTTTTGTTATTTTGGGATCGGAAATAAAGTTTGTACACCATTTATGGAGGACTATGTGGCAAAACATTGGAACCCAACTAGAGTTTGGAGGTCAGTGGAAGTTTACGAAACAATCTCTGATGCCTTGTTGGGAACCGTGTAAAACATGGGATTCTATGAGACTTCTTCCTGATCCAGCGTTCAGGCTGCAACAATCAAACAAATGGGATCACAGAAAACTCCAATTGAGGCTGCATATGGACTCAAAAAGGAACATGAGGCTTGAGTTAACGAAAATGGAGATTTTTTGCTGAACATAGGGGGGTGCGTTTGGTTCAGTTTTGTTTAGTTCAAGTGAAACACATGATTGAGTCAACCAATGTCAACATCGTTTTGATTTAGTTTGGTTCAATTCGACCTATGGTTTAATGATATTAGTAATTAGTTACTGGTACAATTGTATAATTTAGGTTGTCCAAAAGCTTAAAAGCTATTCAAATGGCTAACCAATCATTAAGGTCTTCACACATTGTAGTGGCCTGTTGTAATTGCTTGATTGATAATTGCGAGGGTCATAACAGCAAGCAGTTGGGAGTGTGGTATTATATAGAGGGATGAAGTCAAGTTTTAGCTCTTAGGCTATGAGGAGCTCCGGTCACTACCGCATAGATTTTTAGTGTTGCCAAATAGGTCATCAACTATGAGACCATTGATAAAACTAACCTGTTAGCTCACTTGCTATTTGCTCAGTTAGAACCTTGTTCAAGTGCCATTTGTGAGATCAACGGACCAAGGATTTGGACATTTTAAAGCTAATTAAATTATTGAGCTTTGTTGAATAAGCTACTTAGCATTGTAAACTCTGTAAGAAAGAAAGCTACTTTGGCTTAGCTCTTATAGGCTTGGTTAATAGTCGTTTGACAAATGACTTCTAAGATAAACGAGCTAAGCTTGAGCTGCATTTGGAGCTTCTTAAATTTTCCAAGCTTTGTTTCAGCAATCCAACACAAGGCTCGTTTACTCTCCTGTACTTGTGCCACATCAGGTGTAAACAAGCCTCTAAGCTAGTTTTTGAGTTATTATAAGGGTTCCCTTGTTTTCTAGCTAGAAAAACGCATACGCTGAAAATTTCAGTTCTTTTTATATTTTTTTGGGATCGTTAACTTATCTAATGTTTCTTGTTAACTGGCTTTGGTTTTTGGGTAAGTTTGGTCGTAATAGTCTCCAAAAGTCAACCAAACCAAGAGGATTGATTTTCCAAATTGAGTACCGAACTGCACCAATGAACTTAAAAACTGAACCAAACCAGCATGATGTGGGTGTGTGGTTCAGTTTCTCAGGTTGCTTGGTTTTGTTGTGCACCCGTTTTATGACAGGTTCATGAAAGAACTAAGGGTTGCCATAAGGCCCTTTAAAACAAGTGGCTGCTGCTGAGGTAAGCATGAATCTCTTGCAGCCACAACAAATTAACAAGGATTTTAAAGGTCACATGCTAGGTAAGAAATATTCCTGAAGGTGTCCTGACAAAAGCTTAAAATAAATTAGAAAGTTTGATCATACAAGGTTGTGAAGAAGATTAGCTCTTATTGCTTGCTTAATAGAGCTTCCACCTGACTTACAAATAAGCACAATCTTCAATGTTTCAGATTTGTATATTTTTGTAGGGTTTGAAGAAGGCATGGCTACTATAAGATCAATTGGTTGAGCATCTCTTACATCGACAACCTGATGCCTCAGAAGATGTTTCGGATGTCAAAGAACTCAATTCTAAGATGGGTAATTAGTACATCAGGTTCTTGGTGAATTGGTTGGGTATAGTGTTATTTAAGGTGTAAAACAAATCAAAGTGAACTGGTCTCTCAATGGCCTAGACGAGAAGTGACAAGCGAAGTGAGCGCTTCATCGAAGCAAAACGAATAATAAAAAAAATAAGTAAATATTTTAATTTGATACTTTAATTTTTATAAATATTTAAGTTTTAACTTTACAAATATAAAATATTTCAATGCAACCAAAATAATAAAATCAATATATTTTAAATAGACAAGATATTAAATATTGGACATTATTACATGCTAAAATTAATCAATTGACATAATCACGTCATCTAAATGTAAAGCTAGCAAATGTGAGTTTGACTTTTACCGTGATTGATTAATATCATCACTAAACAGAGCACTCACAAATTGATTAATCAAATAGAGCATATAACAAATTGATTAATCAATTTGATTAACTAATCAAATTGATTAACAAGAGCATTCACAATAAAATAGAGTATTCAACATCATCTAAGTATAATAAGAAAGATTGTCATATGATACTATTAGCTGAATCAATCAATTTATTTTATACATGTACACATATAACATCATCTCTTCTAGGGTTTAGGTAATGTTAAATAAGAAAGAGAAGAAGGAGGAGGAAGAGGGATTAGGAGTTGAAAATAAAAAAATTGCAGTCAAGCGTTTGCTTTTTTCGTCTGGCTTGCTTCGTCGCCTAGGTTTGTTTTTTCCTCGTTTTACTTAACCTCTCTTTGCCTGGGACGGTTAAGGCAACCATGGCTTGCTGCGCTTTTCGCCTAGGCTCGCTTTTCACAACACTGGTCGGGTAAAAACGCAAGTGAAAAAGTACATGGATTGGTGAAGATGAGATGAAGTAGATTGATCCGGAGATATATCTTGAATTATCAAGGCCTTCTTGTCAAGTCAGTGTGTTTTCCACCTTGGGTAGACAAAGTCTGTGGAATGCTGTCAGGCTTCCTCTGCTGTTTATCTTGTGCTTGTTTGTAGTGGGGTGTAGTTATGTGTTGTATTTAGGGGTTATTGTGTAGTTCTGTGGTACAATGTGCGGGATAACAATCATAAGCTGGTGAGTGTAAATTTGAAAGCAGCCATCTTGTGCAATTGAAGTCCAAAACTTGGTCCCTTGCCGATTCACCATCAACCCTTCCTAGTATCATCAGTTAACGGGGTCCAAATTGGGTAGGGGGCTTTGTCTTCGTCGTTGTTTTATCCAAAATCATGTTTAAGTCCCGCGATTCATTTAGGTGAATTGATGNCAAAATAATAAAATCAATATATTTTAAATAGACAAGATATTAAATATTGGACATTATTACATGCTAAAATTAATCAATTGACATAATCACGTCATCTAAATGTAAAGCTAGCAAATGTGAGTTTGACTTTTACCGTGATTGATTAATATCATCACTAAACAGAGCACTCACAAATTGATTAATCAAATAGAGCATATAACAAATTGATTAATCAATTTGATTAACTAATCAAATTGATTAACAAGAGCATTCACAATAAAATAGAGTATTCAACATCATCTAAGTATAATAAGAAAGATTGTCATATGATACTATTAGCTGAATCAATCAATTTATTTTATACATGTACACATATAACATCATCTCTTCTAGGGTTTAGTTAATGTTAAATAAGAAAGAGAAGAAGGAGGAGGAAGAGGGATTAGGAGTTGAAAATAAAAAAATTGCAGTCAAGCGTTTGCTTTTTTCGTCTGGCTTGCTTCGTCGCCTAGGTTTGTTTTTTCCTCGTTTTACTTAACCTCTCTTTGCCTGGGACGGTTAAGGCAACCATGGCTTGCTGCGCTTTTCGCCTAGGCTCGCTTTTCACAACACTGGTCGGGTAAAAACGCAAGTGAAAAAGTACATGGATTGGTGAAGATGAGATGAAGTAGATTGATCCGGAGATATATCTTGAATTATCAAGGCCTTCTTGTCAAGTCAGTGTGTTTTCCACCTTGGGTAGACAAAGTCTGTGGAATGCTGTCAGGCTTCCTCTGCTGTTTATCTTGTGCTTGTTTGTAGTGGGGTGTAGTTATGTGTTGTATTTAGGGGTTATTGTGTAGTTCTGTGGTACAATGTGCGGGATAACAATCATAAGCTGGTGAGTGTAAATTTGAAAGCAGCCATCTTGTGCAATTGAAGTCCAAAACTTGGTCCCTTGCCGATTCACCATCAACCCTTCCTAGTATCATCAGTTAACGGGGTCCAAATTGGGTAGGGGGCTTTGTCTTCGTCGTTGTTTTATCCAAAATCATGTTTAAGTCCCGCGATTCATTTAGGTGAATTGATGTCCAGTCATGTAGTCACTTAGGTGAGGGCATTTTGGTTTCACTACCAATTAGTCATCTATAATCGGGCCCATATATAAAAGGTCCTCTTATTTGATTGTAGAGTAGTCTCCTCATTTCAGCTCTAATATATATGATAATCAAGTTCTCTTGTCTCTCTTTGAGCTTTAGACGCAACTATCTATCACTTTCCCTCTAGAAATGATGTGTTTTGGCTCATCTTTTTGTTAGTAGTGGTTATTTTGCTTTTTTCCCTTTATTTCTGTACCATGTACTCTTTTGATGGGCTAATGCACAGTTGTCCTGCTTTTTTATGATGGAAGGTGGCGTTGATACTTTTCAGCTCCTTGACTGAGACAATTGGGAATTCATTTCAGCCTCATTTTGTTGATTTACATGCTCTTCTACTCAAGTGCCTACAAGATGAGACTAGTAACCGTGTCAGAGTTGCTGCTCTCAAGTATTTATTTTGTCAATATTTGTTTGACTATATGTGTGCTATTGTTTGGGTTCAGTTAGCATGCAGATTGCTTAAATTTGTATCCGTTGAAATTTTATTGTCTAAACAGGGCAGTGGGATCTTTTCTAGAGTTTACTCACGATGAAGCTGAAGTGGTGAGTCAAATGAGTGCTTTTTTAAATTCCAGTGCTTATTTTGCTTCCAGTTTGTCAATAGAGTGAAGAAAACTATAGTGTAACTATGTAAGTAGTCTGACTTTGCATTATTTCTGACAAAATGCATTTCTCTTGGATCTGAGTTTGCATTATTTATGACAAAAAGCAGTTTTATTGGATCCTGCTAAGTTTTTCTTTCTCTGGTGATTTGATCTCAAGCTGAGTGACGTGATGCCTTAAATGGGTTGACATTCAGTTCATTCGACTAGATAGACTGCTGGTAAACTAATTAGTCAAAATAAAATCTGAGAGTTGAAGTCTTGAAGAGGAAAAAAAAGTCCTGTGACAGGAAAGCCTCTTTGGCTTTAATATGTGCCAGCAGTGACCCATTTAGATGCATTTCTACTACATGGGTGGTAGGGAAATTTTGTTGGTTGATCCTTTCGTTTATTTCTTCTCATACACGTGCAATGGCTTATCTAGGAGTGGGCACTACCATGGTTTATGTCGTAGAGAGAGAGAGATGTGTGATTCATTTGCCATGGTTATCAAATCAACTAGTGTTATTCTTTAATGACTTGGCAAGTCCTAGCCTCTACNGTTTTTTCCTCGTTTTACTTAACCTCTCTTTGCCTGGGACGGTTAAGGCAACCATGGCTTGCTGCGCTTTTCACAACACTGGTCGGGTAAAAACGCAAGTGAAAAAGTACATGGATTGGTGAAGATGAGATGAAGTAGATTGATCCGGAGATATATCTTGAATTATCAAGGCCTTCTTGTCAAGTCAGTGTGTTTTCCACCTTGGGTAGACAAAGTCCGTGGAATGCTGTCAGGCTTCCTCCGCTNCCCCCCCCCAAAAAAAAAAAAAAAAAAAAAAACACAAAAGAAGAGATTGCTTGGTTGACCTGGGTTGATCCTGTTGACTTGAGACCTGATCAAACCTAGTCGATGGTGGCTGGTTTGGTTCTCTCTGTGTGGGTGTGTTTAAGTTTTGTTGACAGTGGTTGAATCAGTTATTTCCTAAGGCTTCATCATTACCGTTACCCATGCAGGTCAAGTTTCGAGAGTTTATTCCCAGCATATTGAATGTATCAAGACAATGCCTTGCCTCTGGGGAGGAGGATGTTGCTGTTATTGCTTTTGAAATATTTGATGAGTTGATTGAATCTCCTGCACCTCTTCTTGGGGAGTCAGTTAGAGCCATAGTGCAGTTCTCCCTTGAAGTTTGCTCAAGTACGAATTTTGAGCCCAGCACACGCCATCAGGTTTGGAGCCTCAGAATTCAAATATATTTCTGTGTACTCATCTTATCAAACCAACCCCAATAGTAATGATATATTGTTTGTTATTCGACTAGTAGAGTTACGCTGTTCCATGTTCTTGGTTTCATGAATCAGTTATGATATGTTGATTTTTGGATGTGTCAGGCTATTCAAATAATATCATGGCTTTCCAAGTACAAACCGAATTCTCTCAAAAAGTACAAGCTGGTGATTCCGATCCTCCAAGTTATGTGCCCACTGCTTGCAGAATCAACTGACAGGGATGAAGATGATGATCTTGCGCCAGACCGAGCTGCTGCAGAAGTTATTGATACTATGGCTTTAACCCTGTCGAAACAAGTGTTTCCACCTGTCTTTGAATTTTCTTCTTTAAGTAGTCAGAGCGTTAATCCAAAGTTTCGGGAAGCTTCAGTTACCGCTTTGGGCGTCATTTCAGAGGGTTGTTTGGAGTTGATGAAAGATAAGATGCAACCTGTTCTTCATATTGTATTGGGGGCTCTGAGGGATCCAGAACAAATGATACGTGGGGCTGCATCATTTGCACTGGGTCAGTTTGCTGAGCATCTGCAGCCTGAGATTGTATCTCACTATGAAAGTGTTCTCCCTTGCATTTTAAATGCCCTTGAGGATGCATCTGATGAAGTTAAGGTACATATTGAAAAAGAGGAGATTCTTAGAATGAGTTTTAATTAGTGTGTGCATATTTGAGCTAAACTTATCTATTATTTGAAGGAAAAATCATACTATGCATTGGCAGCATTTTGCGAGAATATGGGTGAGGAAATCCTTCCTTTTCTTGATCCGTTGATGGGAAAATTACTGGCTGCCCTCCAAAGTAGTCCTCGTAATTTGCAGGAGACGTGTATGGTAAAGACATAGTGTCCATGCTTCAATGGCTGTCCATTATGTTGGCGAATTTTTTTATTACTTCTGATGTGCGCTCTTTCTTGCCATTATTGCAGTCTGCAATTGGGTCAGTTGCATCTGCTGCAGAGCAAGCGTTCATTCCATATGCTGAGAGGGTTCTAGAGTTGATGAAAATTTTTATGGTGCTTACAAATGATGAGGATCTCCGTTCACGTGCAAGGGCCACCGAATTGGTTGGCATAATNTTTTTGGCATTATTGCAGTCTGCAATTGGGTCAGTTGCATCTGCTGCAGAGCAAGCGTTCATTCCATATGCTGAGAGGGTTCTAGAGTTGATGAAAATTTTTATGGTGCTTACAAATGATGAGGATCTCCGTTCACGTGCAAGGGCCACCGAATTGGTTGGCATAATTGCAATGTCTGTTGGGAGGACGAGGATGGAACCAATTTTACCGCCTTTTGTTGAAGCTGCAATATCTGTAACTCACTTTGGCACTTCTCTTTTGTCGGAAAATATGGTATATTTTCCAAACATTTGATCTATGTGGGTTAATGTGTCAGGGATTTGCATTGGAGTTCAGTGAGCTTCGCGAGTACACTCACGGATTCTTCAGCAATGTGGCAGAAATTTTGGAAGACGGTTTTAGTCAGGTAGCTTTTACGTTATGTAGATTACTAATGTCTGAGCCCATGGATTTTTCTGCATTTATAATAATGAGTGGCATGTCATTTTTTTAACAGTATCTTCCACATGTTGTACCTTTGGCATTTTCCTCCTGCAATCTTGATGATGGCTCGGCTGTGGACATTGACGATTCTGATGAGGACGGAAATGTTAATGGATTTGGTGGAGTGTCATCTGATGATGAAGCTCATGATGAACCAAGGGTTCGCAATATCAGTATAAGAACAGGAGTGTTGGATGAAAAGGCTGCTGCCACGCAAGCCCTTGGCTTATTTGCTCTGCACACGAAGAGTTCCTATGCACTGTATCCTTTGTGGTTGCACTCGCACTCGCACACACACATATAATTGTTTGCAACTAACAGGAAAAGTTGTTCATAGTTGTCTGGATTCCTTGATTATCTTCAGCTATTTGGAAGACTCACTGAAGATTTTTGTAAGGCACTCGACCTATTTTCATGAGGATGTTCGGCTGCAGGCCATTATTGGTCTGAAATGTGAGTAGCAAGTAGCAATATGACAATTGTGGACTACATTTTATTATCATTGTGGAACCAGCTTTTGTTGTTCCTCAAGACTTGGTGAACGTTTTGCTTAACATAGGCTAATCTCTCTCTCTCTCTCTTTTGTTTTTTGTTTTGTTTTTTTTTTTTTTGGGGGGGGAGGGGGGGGGTTACACTACTGATGGTGCATTCTACATGCAATTCAAAGTATTGTTTTGGTTCCTATTAGATATATTCGAAGTATCTGGATTTCAAGGCAATCTTAATATCATTGAAAATGAAGAGGATAAAATTGTGGCCTTATGTTTCTTTAAGGTCATTTTTGATTTGGGACTCTATATTCTCAGCTCTGCATTACCTCTCTCACTCTTGAAACATATGCGTGTGTGCATTAGATTTGGGCTGTTGATCAAAGTTGAAATGAGTGTTTTGTGGTTTTATTTTAACTTAATTTTGGAGTTTCTCATTGCCCATTGGTTGATACAAAGGCTATTGTTAAGTTGAAGTGTTCAAATCAATCTTCTCTTCTGACGCTGGCATGAATTTATCCATCCACAAAGATGACAAGGAAAAAGGAAATGCTAGCTTTACATAAGGCTTGTGTTGATTTATCATTCATCCTCTATCCCCTATTTCTGCAACCATTGAAACAACAACAACAACAAAAAAAATTTAATCAGCTCAACAGAACTTTATCCCAGGTAGTTGGAGTTCGTTACATCACTCACTTNAAAAAAAATTCAATCAGCTCAACAGAACTTTATCCCAGGTAGTTGGAGTTCGTTACATCACTCACTTTGTTTACGATGTACTAATAATGTTTTTTGATGGGAAAATGGAAAATGTAGTTGACAGAGTGCAGTTATAATTATGTTTCAGAATCGTATAGCTGTTGCTCATCTAAATATGCTGGATCATCTCATTCTTTCTTAGATATTTTTTATGCTGGCATTTTTAGGAAATTTATTCTTCCATGCACAAGGAAATATGTCTGGTTAATATGCTAATTTATTACATGGCCACTTTGTCAATTTCGCTTGTAACTTAGTAAAATGGATTGCCATGGGGGGACAATGACAGCCTCAGTTTCTGTCATCACTTCTATTGTGCATGCACCCCTCGTGAAATGGTTCAACTGCCCTCACTTTTGATTTTGTCGTGGTACTCAATTCATTTGTTATGTGCAGAGATTGCTCCCTTTTTTAGGACATTGCCCACTACTCTCACTTGCAACATGCATACCAATGAGGCACTTACATCGTTTATACCGATAAATTGCTATGCCCTTTGCAGGGGCTGTCTAATGGATTGATGCTTCACCATCTTGCACATCTGCCAAAGCATCTTTCTGCTTGATGTTCTGTTTTTTTAGTTCAATTCTCTGAAATTGGTAATCTAGATTGCCAATTCTGAATGAATTCATTGTCATTCACTTGGGGGGAAGCTTTTCTGAGGTCTTTACTTATATGTCTTACTTGAACTTCATTTCTANTGTCAATTCTCTGAAATTGGTAATCTAGATTGCCAATTCTGAATGAATTCATTGTCATTCACTTGGGGGGGAAGCTTTTCTGAGGTCTTTACTTATATGTCTTACTTGAACTTCATTTCTATCTGTGGCTCCGTGTATTTTGATAGGTCTATAGCACAATATACTCTTACACTGATTGGAGATGTCGTATCATTTAGGTTATATTTAATCAGTACTTAAGTTATTTGATATGTGATTGCAGATATTTTGACAGCTGCACATGCGGTCTTCCAAGATCATAATGTGAGTTTGTCTCAACAATTTTCCTCTTAATTTTTTTAAAATCATTTTTATTGTTTTCTTCTGACATTTGTGGATGTGGCATCTTTATATTCCATTCCTATCCCCCCCTGCTGGTATTGATTATTGGGATGGTTAAAATTTTAACAGGTTTGTTGGCTTGTTTGGTACATCATTTTTTTTTGTGGTTAACATGCGTCTTTTTACAGTTGGTATGTTTAAGAAAGCTATCCTTTCATGGTTATTAGAGGCTCCTTCATGCTGAAGTTGTCTATCTGTGTATCTGTTTGGTGGATGTAGCTACCTGCTGGAGCCTGGATATTCTACTAATATGGTCACAATTTTCCTTGTCTTTTTGCAGGAAGGGACAGTGAGAGCTAAAGAAATTCTTGGTAAGAGCATCGCTAAGAGAAATTATGTTGTCTGTAGCATTTTCAACACTGAACCCTATTCTTTGGAGAATTCATCAATGATTTTGGTCTGCAGATGCTGTGATGAATATTTACATCAAGACAATGACAGAAGATGATGACAAGGAAGTAGTTGCTCAAGCTTGTATGAGCACGGCTGACATCATCAAGGATTTTGAGTACATTCCCATTGAGCCTTGTAAGTATGAATCTTATTGATTTTTTTTTTCTACCGTTTGAAATTGTTGTTTTGGTGTAAGAAATTTACTTATGAGTGTGATCTGATTTCAGATATGGCTCAACTTGTTGAAACAACGTTGGTGTTGCTTCGGGAGGAGTCAACTTGTCAGCAAACAGAATCTGATAGTGAAATAGATGACGATGATGCTGAACATGATGAAGTTCTTATGGATGCAGTTTCTGACCTCCTCCCTGCATTTGCCAAGGCCATGGGTTTTCATTTTGCACCGATTTTCTCAAAGCTGTTTGAACCTTTAATGAAATTTGCGGTTGGTTAGCAGCTGCTGCTGCCCATATCCTTATATAATTTCAACCCCTTGCCCTGCTCTTACTCTCACTTGTTTTATGATTGGTAACTGCAGAAAGCTTCACGCCCACCACAAGATCGGACCATGGTGGTTGCATGCCTTGCAGAAGTTGCTCAGAATATGGGAGGTCCAATTGCTGGCTATATTGATGTAATTTTTGGGAATATGATATTCTTTCTATTCTTTTAGCTGTTTATGGATTCTAGCTTCTACTATATCTGCAGTTAATTTCTTTGGAATTGCATCATCCTGTTTCAGGCTCTGATGCCCTTGGTACTTAAAGAATTAGCTTCATCAGTGGCAACTAATAGGAGGAATGCGGCATTTTGTGTTGGGGAGTTGTGCAAAAATGGGGGCGAGTCTGCCCTGAAGTATCCATATATATGGATATACTTTTCTCCTCTTTTTAGCTTTTCTTTGCTTCCCAACATCTTATATTTATTGTATTCAACTTCATATGTGGAGGAGGTGTGCATTTTATGTAACTAAGTTCTTCAAACAATTAGATGCTTATAATGATTTTGGCGTTGGGCTCTTTTTTCTTTGGTCATTCTACTTACATCTATGTCAGATACTATGGCGATGTGTTACGTGGCCTTTATCCCCTTTTTGGGGAATCCGAGCCAGATGATGCAGTAAGGGACAATGCTGCTGGTGCTGTGGCACGGATGATAATGGCGCACCCTGAGTCCATCCCTCTAAATCAGGTGTTTTTTCTGTTCTATCATGCTCTTTTATTTAGTATATTCTCAGCTCGCTTAGTTTTGTCTGTTTATTACCTTTTTTGCAGGTTCTACCTGTTTTCTTGAAAGTTCTTCCTTTGAAAGAAGATCATGAGGAATCAATAGCTGTCTATAGTTGTGTCTCTAATCTGGTTTTATCATCGAATTCTCAGGTATTCAATTCTTTTGTTCTTGCTGAAGTGAAACAGACTAATGCATATTGTTTGTTGGAAATCTAACGCGCGTTATCCTCTGCTTTTTCTTTGCAACCACCCAAAAAAAAATCCTCCCTCAAGAGTAAAATCTATTTCTTTCTTGATTGGGTTCACCTTTTTTGTGTTTCGCAAAGCAGATCCTGTCTCTGGTTCCAGAGTTGGTTAACCTATTTGCCCAAGTTGCTGCATCATCTGTTGAAACTCCTGAAGTCAAAGCTCAAATAGGCAGGGCTTTCTCTCACCTGATTTCACTATATGGTCATCAAATGCAACCCCTTTTGGGCAATCTTTCACCTACGCATGCTAATGCACTAGCTGCAATTGCGCCAAAGAGTTGACAGCTGATCAAGCCAGCCAGCTGAGTCATTTCGTTACTTTTTGGCAGTACTGTTTTCACTAATGGGCTCATTTCTCAGACTCTTATTACCATTAGGAGCTGGTTATGATCACCAGAACGAGGATTGTTTTCTCATCCAGGTATTGTTGCAAATAAATTATGCAATTATCATGCCATGAAAAAGGTTTAGATGATGAGGATTTTCCACTAAACTCTGTGATATAGTCCTTTGTTCGCAAACTTCCAGATTCTAGATATGGCTTTTACTTGACAAAAGTAATTTTACCTTGTCATCCTCTTAGTAAATCTTTTGATCATAGCCTTGCACTCCAATTTAAACCATTGTTTGTGTTCACTGCTGATCTCATTGGTCTATTTTGCACATCCTTTTTCGTTATCTTATCCTGTACACCAACACATCCTCCTCATTTTTACATCTGGCACAGAAAACCAAAACTCAGACATTTGTATTGTGGGAGAAATATATCTGCCAATATGCAACGGTCCCACATTCTACCCCTATAATAAACGTGTAAGAGTTGTTAAAATACTGTCGGTAGTGTTTCTTATAATCAATACTCTCTTTTGATATTTCAGTTTTATTATGTTGCTTAATGTTCATATCCATCATGCAGGTTGTGGTTTGCCTTCTTCCAGCTGTCTAGTTAAATTACTTGTGTGGAGATTGGCTTTTTCTTCCAGTTTTGATGTATTCATAGTGTTCCTTTTCCCCATTCTTTATTTACTCATTATTTATGTTTGCTTGCGGTGTCCATTTAGTTCTTCAATTGTTGAGCTTAAGTTGTAAGAATTATGTTGTGAGAGGATCTTGTAAATCCCATATTTATACCGTGTAACAAGGTTTGTAAAATAATGCTTTTTCCCCTCGACGCTGTTCAAGATTGTCCCTTGTCAGAGATACGATGGGTTTTTTCTCTTTTATTGACAATTTCAATTGATCAATTTTGAAGTTGGCCAGAATTCAGTTTTCTGCATTTTGTCAATCCACCTGTTTTTGCAGTTGTTTTTGTAATTTTGGGTTTTTAATTGCCTTAGAGACCATTATATGCTGCTGGGGTCCTAACAGGAAGTGGTGCCATAACAAGAGGAGTTGTGCTCTGCCTCAAGGCCATGGGACTGTGAGGTTCGAGGAATGACATGCTCTGTTTGGTGGGTGTGCAAGCTATTGTTGCTTTTGTCGATGGAGTTGGATTTAATTCATGCACTTGTTTGTGCCAAAGGAACGCAGACTCACAAATCAAATGCAGAGGTGCCTTTGTACTGACACAACGCTACTTAGGGCAATTGGAATAAACTTTAGGAGGTATGGATTCTAATCAGCGCATATTTATTTGTAATATTGTTATTGTCTGGTAACTGAACGTCATCCAAACCAACCTTGGCTTAAAGCTATTTAAAGGTCTTTTGAGCTGTTCTTCTAATCTTGAAAGCTGAAGTGTTGGTTGGAGCATTAGGGTTCAAATCCCTCTCCATCTGCGAGGCCATAAGATCTCACTTGCTTTATATATAGATAAAAATGAATCGGACAGGCTCTACAGATATGATAGATGGCCAGTGGCTCTTTTTATTTTTTTAGGCTTGTTTTAGGGTGGGTAGATGGTTTTTTTTCTTGGTCCCCGGCAGGGCGGTTGGTTCGGCGGAGATAAAGAGAACCTCTAAGGATCAGCTTCTGCTAATGACTACCTCACACACCAAAACCATCAAGAAGCAAGTTATGTCTTCTTTGAGCATTATCTTGTTTGCGTGACACCATCTCTTTCTTGCTCCTTACAAGTCTCAAAACATATTTATATTGCTCCTTTCACATTCGACACATCTAGAAGTGCAACTTGACTCTAAAGACAACAGGCATGTACATGAACCATGAAGGTAAGAAATTGATGATCAAGAACAATCTCGTAGAATACCAACAATCTCAGAGCGTTGAACTTGACNAGCATGCTTGTACATGAACCATGAAGGTAAGAAATTGATGATCAAGAACAATCTCGTAGAATACNAACAGGCATGTACATGAACCATGAAGGTAAGAAATTGATGATCAAGAACAATCTCGTAGAATACCAACAATCTCAGAGCGTTGAACTTGACTTAATTCATCCGGAAACTTGATGAGAAATTTGACTTGAAGGTCACCTCTCCTTCCTTCTTCATTGGGTTTAGGCATGCCTTGTCCAGGAATAATCTTCTCACACCCTTGGTATAGGATGTCGTCGAATGACAGAGTCATCTTCTCACCTCCTAGTAGAGGGATAGTTATGGTGCAACATGTGAGAGCTTGAACTAAAGGAATTTCAACTCCAAGCTCCAAATCATTGCCTAGTCTCTTGTACACTGGGTGTCTTTTTTCGTCGATTACAAAGGCTATATCAGCCTGGAGGGTGCCCGGTTTCTGGTCTCCCTTCCCTTTGAAGGTGATTTTCGTTCCCTTTTTCCATCCCGGCTTCNCCTGTGAGAGCTTGAACTAAAGGAATTTCAACTCCAAGCTCCAAATCATCGCCTAGTCTCTTGTACACTGGGTGTCTTTTTTCGTCCATTACAAAGGCTATATCAGCCGGGAGGGTGCCCGGTTTCTGGTCTCCCTTCCCTTTGAAGGTGATTTTCGTTCCCTTTTTCCATCCCGGCTTCACTCTTATATGTAATATCTCCTCTTCTTGAACAATTAGCCTGTCAAAACAAACATCAAACACAAAAACTTGATGCCCCTATTTTTACCAAGATTCAATCATATATGTCATATGCATAAATCAATACAATGTTGATCTTCACATGAACATGGCTAATTTGAAACAAAATTAAACCTCTAAATATCAGTCATAATATAGAGAATTTTTTTTTTTTTGTCTAAGCTTGTAACGATTACTCTTTCAAGCTCGCTCGGATACTGACCATCGTAACTTGAACGGATTTAGAACATGTCTCTTGAAGAACAAGGTTGGTTGGCCATTAGCAAAAATGAGAAGGGNGGATACTGACCATCGTAACCTGAACGGATTTAGAACATGTCTCTTGAAGAACAAGGTTGGTTGGCCTTTAGCAAAAATGAGAAGTGTTGAACCTCAAAACTCTAGGTTATCAAAGGTCAAGTTCAACTATTAAACCACCCCNCTGACCATCGTAACTTGAACGGATTTAGAACATGTCTCTTGAAGAACAAGGTTGGTTGGCCATTAGCAAAAATGAGAAGGGTTGAACCTCAAAACTCTAGGTTATCAAAGGTCAAGTTCAACTATTAAACCACCCCCAAGGAGGTGAGGTTTATAGTTTTAATTCTTTAATCACATAAAAGTAATTTGAATTGGTGAAAATACATTAAAAAAAATGTGAACAGAAAGATTTGGATACCCAGTGTTGGAGATAACATCTCTTGTAATCTTGATCTTCTTGACGCATCCATTGCACAGCTCCTCAAGCGTGCACTCCAGCCTTTTTTTCAATCGGCTGAGGTTTTCTCCGGGCCTTCGACTGTGAAAAAATGATCGGGGTAGTGCTCCTCCGGCTAGTTATTCTCGATAGAGAAGTTGGTTCTGTTGGAGTGCTAGGGGTTGTTGGGGTACTACTCCCACTTGAACTCCTTGAAACAGATGCATAATAATCTGCCGGTGTCGGAGTTGTGCTTCTCCGGCTTGCACTTCTCGAAATGTTCCTCGCACTTGGTATCGGGGTGTGGCTCCTCCGGCTTGAATTCCTGGAAAGGATTGGAGGGCTGGAAGGGACAGCATCGTCGTCTTTCTCATTGTAGAATAAATTTTCTAACGTTTTTGGCTCGTCGATGATTATAGTATCTTCTTCTCTCCTCTTGGTACTAAGAACCTGAAATTCAAGAGAAAATAATGCAGTGTGCAATGAATTAATTTTCGTTTCGTTTTCACAAAAACGTGAAGAATAAATGAGCGATTGAATATAGAAATTCCTATATTTTGTGTGTTTTGATGTGTTCTAAAATATTTTAAATGTATGTTTTGATTAATATTTCAATTATAAATTTTTAAATCTTTCTATGTGCACCCCTAACGTCTTTGCACACAAGTATATGCATGCACTAAATTTGTTTTTGCATGGAGTTTGGGAGTTGAATTTGATGGTGTTACCCTATATGCTTCATTGATGGATCTGATCTTGGATTCGGCCTCGGCTTTGTTGGTCGGATCTTATTTGGATGCCATTTCATGACAAGGGATTTGTATGCTTTGCTTATATCTACAAGTGATGCCATTTTTGGGATACCGAGGATGGCGTAAAAATTCTAAGCCGGTGCCGGTGAACGTGGAGGATCTCCCATGAGAGAGAGAGGAAGGAGATATGTGAAAATTGAGAAAGGAGCAAAAGGGTGTCTTGTGTCCAACGGTGTTTTTTATTAGAGAAAATCAGACATGAAGCGTTTTTTGAAGGGATATTAATTTGTCATAATTTGTTGGAGTTAGAGGTATCAATCGATCTAAAAAATATTATTTAGATTTAATTTGTTGGCATTCGTGAGTCTCAAGATTCATTAAATCTAATAGATTTAAGTACAAGTAATAGTTCATGAAACCAAGTCCAGCTGAATGTGGGTTAGGTAATTTTAAATTTTGTTCCTCATTTGGTATCTAAATCAATTTTAGTTCTATCGGTTTTTGGTATTAAAAAAAGTCTTTTGTTTTTTTAAAAACATTGTATGAGGTCCCTGGTTTGGTTTGGTGAGATTAGACAGTTATTGTATAGTTATATCTATTTGCCTATTTTAGCCTAAATTTAAGAGATATAAGTGAACCAAAATAGAACATATCATGATCCCTTTCTCTTATTCATTCTTGATCAAGAACATGCGGATCTCCATTTCTTTCTCTCGCAACGAACATGGGAAATCTTATCTTCATGTTTGGACTTAAAATATTCATTCTTGATTGAACTTATCTTCATGGAAAATCTGTTCTTGATCAAGAATGAATAGGAAATCTATTCGGTGCCTTTGAAGACATAGAAATTGATGTCGATGACTTATCTTCATGGGAATTTATTAACGCCTCCGACGATGATGAGGAAGATTGATTCGATTAGAAATCTTATGTCTTCCTTCCTTTATATTTGATTTGATTTTGGAAAGAAACAATGGGTTGGGAGTAGTTTTTTCTGGATTTTTTCTTCTGATTTTGCTTTGCGCTCCTCTGCCTTTCTTTTTTACTTTTGGGTTTCTTATAAACTAGACTTGTCGGCTTGGGTATATTTTGCGTACTTATTATTTTTTATTTTTTTTATTGTGTATCGTTATTTTTTATAGTGTACATGTTATTTTTTATTTTTTATTATGTACCTGTTATTTTTTTCGCGTACCTGTTATTTTTTTATTGTGTACTTGTTATTTTTTATTACGGTCCTTATATTTTTTTATTGCATACTTGTTATTTTTTTATTTTTTTTATTGCATACCTGTTATTTTCAATTTTTTCTTATTGTGTATTTTTTGTTTTCTTACGTACCTACTTTTTTGTATTTTATTTATTGTGTACCTGTTATTTTTTATTTTTTTTATTGTGTACCTATTATTTTTTTACTCGAAGGTATAAGAATATACTAGTAATGAATGATGTGCACATGAATTTTTTTATTGAAACATTTAATAAAATACATAAAAATTATAATCATGTAGATATATTAGATATTATCTTATATTTATCATATTTAAATTGTTTGTATTATCTTCATAATTATAAACATCGAATGAATTCATTTACTGTGATTCTTTTATTCGAGCTACCAAGTAATAATGTTTTTACGTTTTTTTTTCTTTTTGTCTTTTTTTTTAAAAAAATTTTTGTATCAGTAATTTTTTATCAAATTATTTTGATTGTGAATGAAGAGATAAGATAAGTATATATGTTTTTGAACATTGAAGATGATATTGTATCAATGGAATTGTCAATGTGTATTACTATTGGGGTTTTGAAAAAAAATAATTTTGTTTTTATAAACATAATATGATCATTCAAAAGTTTTTGTAAAGATAGAAAGATTTGCATGATATATTAGAGATTAGTTTATTATTTAAATATAAAGGGATATAATAGTAATTTATATATTTAAATACAAAAGGACATGTTAGCATTTTTAGTTTTTTATAAGGGTAAAATAATGAATCAAAAGTTTTTTATGTTAAGGTATTTTTATTAGTAGTATAGATAGATATTTTTAATTACGTACCTTTATTTTTTTTAATATACCTGTTTTAAGATTTGTGTTTGTGGAAAAAAATGTTCAGTGCGATGATATAATTTTTTAGAATAGTTGTTTAAATTAGGTAATGAGATTGTCGTTATTTTTTTATAATTGAAAATAACTTTAGTTATGTCCATTGCCTTGATTTTTTAACAAGAATTTAATAAAAAAAAAAATTGAGGAGTGAATGTTTTTTGAAATTCTATTGGCCTAGAGACCGGCCTGCAAGCATAGTTAAATTGTAGCCTGATTTGTTTAATTAATTAATCAAATTTATTTATGCTAACTCGGCATGTATAATCTATAAACCCATACCAAGGACTGCAACACTTTTCTCACCCAAACAAAATGTATTACCCATAACCCCCCTAAGTTAAAAATATTCTCAATCTAGGTGATAACAAAACCAAGTGAAAATTTTTCTAATAAGTTATACATGTTTGATATTAATATAACTATCTATAACATAAAATAAGAATATGCTTCAATAAGTTTTATCCGACGATCTTAAATTGATTCATCCGACGATTATCAGTATTTCTCTTAAAATTATTTACATTGCATCACGCCTTCAAACACGAGTTACCTTTAGTGTATTATAAGCAATGACGGAAATAGGTATGGCCAAGCGAGGCCATGGCCCCCTCAACTTCTGAAAATACCCGTCCCTTTTTGGTTTTTAAGAATCATATGTCTTCCCTTAGATGTACAAAAAATTCTGCGTATAAGAGAGTAATTCAATTACTTATTCAAAAAATTTAATGGCCTATTAATTAACAAAATAGAAGATATTGATCACACAGATTCGTGCTTCCTTCTCTTATAGACGAAGGCACGTACTTGGTTGAATTTGATAACCAAAGGGGCAAAAAAAAGTTCCTACAAAATCTGTAACATATGTAACTTATAGTACAAATATTGATTCATATTTATGAAGACTAGTTATTTCTGGCACCTAAAAACATGGAGTAATAAAAAAATGATCAACAATAAAAATATTTGTATTCACACCCAAATCAAATTACAAAAATAGATGAGAGAAAAGAATTTAAGTACCGATTGTAGTGGGGCTGAGCGGTGGAAGTGGTGGTTGACTTGATCCAAAATGTATATACTCAAGTGCAGGCGGTCAAGTTGTAGTAATAATCCGGTTAAGTCTAAAGTCGAATCCACAGGGAACTATTGTTGGTATTTCGAAGTAAGTAGTGACAGAGACCATGTGACTGTAACCTTTGAGATTTATAGTGATGATGTTTAAGGATTTTCCTGAGCCAAATATATAATTCTTTCCAAGAAGATTTTCTAAACAAAATATAAGATAAATTCAACTGTAAAAAATCACTCTTTAGTTCAAGGATTTGGACATGTAGTTAATCATCCAGTTTATTATACTTGTATTTGGTAACTCAATTAACACTCATGTCAACAACAAGTTAATCGAAAGATAAAAGTGGATTGTGAGAATTAAGAACATGGTTTCGATGTCTAGGGATTTACAAGAATTGTCTGTGCCGAGACTCAACCCGTCTACAAACAAGTAAGTGTTTCTACAAGGCATCCAATCATTGCGTTAGTATTCCATTCTTAAGTAAAACACAATAATGGTGAAGATTGAAATGTAGTCATAAAGATCTAATCGGGGTACTTGCCTAGAGCTAATGAGTCTTTCTATGTCAAGAGTCATCTATGTCNTCTCTTATTCATTCTTGATCAAGAACATGCGGATCTCCATTTCTTTCTCTCGCAACTACCTCTACGAACATGGGAAATCTTATCTTCATGTTTGGACTTAAAATATTCAGTCTTGATTGAACTTATCTTCATGGAAAATCTGTTCTTGATCAAGAATGAATAGGAAATCTATTCGGTGCCTTTGAAGACATAGAAATTGATGTCGATGACTTATCTTCATGGAAATTTATTAACGCCTCCGAAGATGATGAGGAAGATTGATTCGATTAGAAATCTTATGTCTTCCTTCCTTTATATTTGGCTTGATTTTGGAAAGAAACAATGGGTTGGGAGTAGTTTTTTCTGGATTTTTTCTTCTGATTTTGCTTTGCGCTACTCTTTCTTTTTGATTTTTGGGTTTCTTATAAACTAGATTTGTCAGGTTGGGTATATTTTGCGTACTTATTATTTTTTATTTTTTTTATTGTGTATCGTTATTTTTTATAAAATACATGTTATTTTTTATTACGT